CCCAGTGGTCTCTTCCTTTATGGTTTTCAGACTAAAATTCTGCAGGCGTGCGTGTTACATGCCTCACCCATCTCATTCTCCGTTTCTGTAATCTTTTCAAAACATCAGACGACGGACCAGACTACACGGTGCAAAATCCCACAAGGGCCCAGAAATTCCTTCGTGAATGTAATTTTCATTTCTTAAGGGCCGGACCCTTTCAACGTCTGAGACAATCTTCTCACCTTATACGGCGTTATGGAGACGAAACATCGTAACTGCGTCACTAAGAACCAACCTCAAGTCTTGTTTGTATTGAAATCCACGCAATTTAACGTAAACACGAGCATTCCATGCGTACTATTCCTCACTTGTTTGCTTCCTGGGTCCAGCGATAATTTTCCCGATCCCGTGTAAAAAAAAAATACTAAACACTCAACCCATAAACAAGAATTAGTCGGATCTGTTTAACACGCTGTAAATAATACTCGCATTAGTGTTAACAGATGAGTGGGAAGTTAACAACAACACGAAGCCAGTTGCGGACCAAAGTATTTTAGCGACTGCAAAATAGGAAACACCTCGAGAAAACCTGTCTACAAGCAGCCTTGTCCATGTCTCATATTGGTCTGAAACAAACGTCTGCAGCCCAGTAACTTATTTTAACGAAATGGTGAGAATAAATGGAGGAAAAACTCTACGCATTCACATCAGCGTTATACAGAGTCATCACTGACTTCGGTATACCCATGAAACTAGTTAGACTAATTTAAATTTTCTCAAACGAAACGTACAGTAATATCCTCATTGGTAAACATCTGTGTCGTTCATATTTTATTTATAATGTTATGAAACAAGGAAATGTTTATTGAACCTGAAGACGGAGATAGAGTCCCATCTCCGAAACGTCGTTTTACGTTTTATATTTACTAGACGATGGATAATATCCAAGGAAAAAGTCCGGAGATAGGGATTAGCTCTATCTAGTGGGCCCAACTGTGTAGGAACCTGAAGACGGAGATAGAGTCACATCTCCGAAACGTCGTTTTAAGTTTTATATTTACTAGACGATGGATAATATCCAAAAAAATTTTTATTCAACTGACTCTTCACCATCGTCAAGAAGTTTTAGATCTGACAAGGAGATGTTTCTTTACCACTGTTTCTAACTTTCCTTTGAAGGTCTACGCTGATGACGGACCACTGGTCCACAGCTTATATGAGTCTGAACTCTACACAGTACGTGTTACTCTGATACTGTTTTAGGACACAGTTTCATTAATACTAATTCTTGGAGTGCCAGGAATACGCTGACAGCCTAGAACGTGGATCATCAGCCATCATTCAACAACGCTTTGAATCTTTCTACCTATTCATAAATTATCTTTCGATTTATACAGATATTGCTACGATGAAGTTTCGATTTACCGTAAATACTACAAATTTTAACATCCTCTGACCACAAAAACAGGATCAGCATCAGCTTTTGTGTAGTGACACCTCGGTAACGAACGTATGTTCCACGAAAAAATCAACAGTGTCGCCTGGTGAATAATTTTCCGTACGACGATGCAGTACACACACACACACACACCTCTCATTTACCAGAGCAATGAGACAAGCTCACGAAACGACTCTAACTTGAGGGAGTATGAGTCAGCTCGCGACATTGACCTCCCCAGATCCATCACTACTGTCATGCAACCAATGACGCTGACAAGTAAAACCAGTTACATTATTATCGCTACTCAAAAGACAATGAAAACCAATTAACTGTTAATGGAAAACAAGCCTTGTTTATTCCACGTCAACAACGACCCAAAATGTTATGGAATTTAAGCAGAAAACGGGAAACTCTGGGCAACGAGCGCTAATCGAACATGCAGGAAGGACTGAAACGAACTTTCTGCAACTGAACCTCTCATACCTCGGCCGACCTCAGAATCGTGTGTGTGTGTGTTTAATTTCTAATCTAGACCAGGTCACGT